TAGGGAGACCAACTTTCCTAGCGCTTACAGGGGAAATGATCTTTCTACCTTTTTTTTTAAACATAGGATAACTTTATATTATTAAAAATACTCATTTTTGTCACCAACCATTGGTAGCTATTTTCTGATAAAAAAGAAGATAAACACTTTCTTTTGAACTAGAGGAAAAACAATGTTTTTGATCATTGAAAACATTCCCTCTCCTTGAAACAAAACCACAAGAGTTTAACTCACCATCATCTTCTCCTGAAAGAGAAAATAATAGACAAAGTTTTAGAAAATGTCTTACAAAGTTCTGATTCTAATCCTATTAATCTTAATATGGGATGGAACTTCACTGTGTTAAACTATCATTATTCATGAACCTTGGTCAGTGTGTAGTTATCCTGCAAATGAAACTTAATAAGAATACAGGACAAAAAGCACAAGGTTTTCACGTTTCATACAATAGATAATACCAGAAAGCAACTAAAAATAATCAGAAAGATCACTCGTTTCGATAATGAGCTAACAACTAGACAAAGTCCCTGCTTCAGTCACCACGTCCAGGACGCTCCCTGCACACTGTGGTTTCCATAAAGGAATGCTTCCGTCTTAAATGGCTGCTCCCGCCGGGCCGGTGTGGCTCAGCAGTTGGGCGTCGACCCCATGCGCCAAGAGGTCCCAGGTTTGATTCCTGGTCAGGCACGTGCCCAGGTTGCGGGCCTGGTTCCCGGTGGTGGGTGTACAGGAGGCGGCTATCGATGTTTCTCTCACATCCATGCTTCTCTCTCTCTCTCCCCGCCCTCTCCTTTCCTCTCTGAAGTCAATACAAATATATATTTAAAAAAAAAAAAAGAGCAACTTCATTCTTCATGGAGCTGCCTTCTCCCTCGCGCAGCCTTGCCTCCCTCCTTCCTGTTCCTGCTTCTCTCCTCTCCTCCCTCTGTCTTTTCTGTAGAGCAGGCTCTTCCCTCCTCCTCGCTCCAGCAGTTCCACGACTCTATTTGGCTCCCCAGGAAACTGCCGATAGATGATGACTCACACGTTCTAACGCATTTTCCACAAAGCCCCTGGCTTAGGGCTGGCCCATAGCAGGTGCTCAATAAAAACATGTCGAAACCTTGAGCCTTAACTCTGAGTGTTTCATACACTTTCAATCATTCAAATTAAGCAAAACATAAAACAGTTGAAAACGTTCTCAAGTGAAGTTTAGTTATAAAGACATTTTATCAACAATCTCTAAAAGCATGGAAATGTACTTTAAAACCCACCTCGGCTGGGTGCCAGCGGGTTTAAAGGACGATAAACAGACCGAGGCCTGAAAACACACAAAACTCAGAGGTGAGACGGTTTGCGTTTGTCATGTACTCCCCGCCCTCCGTCCGCCCTCCCCTTCCGTCCTCCATCCTCCCCTCCCCCCGTCCCCGTGGTTACTTGAAGCAGTTCTCTTCATAGATGCTGTTCCACACCCTCC